CTGCTAAACAGAAAGTATTACCTGAAAAAGCTGAAGCATCTGGTATAACAGGTGCGTGAGATGGATGAAACTCAATGTTGTTAGGAGAACTAATAGCTAGAGGAGCTTGGTTCTGACTTGTAGTAGTGCCAGAATGAGTAGCTGAATTCGAAATCTGAGTTTGAAGATGTGGTTTCAATATATTTAGAACCTGTCGACATTGTTCTGGTGTGATGGCTAAATTGTAAAACTCATTGGATAGACTTGGTGAAGCAGCCACCTGATTAGCACTGGAGACTCTGTCCTTTGCCAACCTATGACCAGGGGGATATCCATGAAGCTTGTAACACTTTCCATGTAAATGTCCAAGTCCACCACAGTAACTGCACTTCGGTCTGTCCTTCCTGAAATTATTACTATTATGCATAGTAGTTCTCTGATTAGCTCCATGGTTCATTGATCCAGCCATCAGTCTACTCATAAACGCAGTAGATTCGACATTTCTCTGATTTTTGGATGCCACATCCTTTTGCCTTTCATCCTGTTGAACTAATGCAAATACTTTATTCAATGGAGGTAAAGGATCCATCATCAGAATTTGGCCACGAACATTGGAATAACTATCATCTAACCCCATCAGAAATTGTATGATCTGTTTTTCTTCGTAATAAGAGTTGTGACTCTGAGGTCGATAGTTTGATAATTCCTCCCACAAGCCTTTCAGCTTATTAAAATAGGTACTCACAGAACCATTTCCTTGTGAAATCGAGACAATCAGTTTCTTCAGCTGATAGATTCTAGGTCCATTACCTTGACTGTATCTGTCTTTTAATTTCAGCCAGATCTGTCGTGCAGAGTCCTTGTGCATAACACTAGGATATAATTCCTTAGGAATTGAATTTATTATCCACGATGAAACAATGTGATTGCATCGTCGCCAAGCAGCGAACAGAGGTGTGTCTAGAGAAGGTTGAGAGATAGAACCATCTATAAAACCTTCCTTATTTTTAACACTCAAAGCCATTTCTACAGCACGGCTCCATGTCGAGTAATTCTCGTCTGAAAGCATAACCGAAACGATCTGCATACCCGTGTTATCTCCATAGTGCAAGTAGTAAGGGCTCGAAGGATCAGTGATCATCCGATGTACATCAATGACTGGATTTTCACTTTGATTAGCATCTTGCGAATCAATTGAGCCTTCGATTCTGGTTTCTGAATTCATCGCCATGAATGGAAGCTTTCAATGCTCTGATACCATGATAAACTTATGCAAAACCAGAGAGAAAATCTTGCAGAAATGGAGGGAAAACACAGAGAGAGAAAGGCTGAATTCTTATTGTTTAATGCGTGTGAAAGTATGGCATATATATACAAGTGTGAGCTGACAACTCAGAAAGCTAAAACAACTTATAACAGAATGGTGACTAATTTACATAAATATCCTTCTGTTGTTATTCGCTAGAGGAACAAAGAGCATAGATATGAACGAACAGTGTTTACTGGGTTCGTGGCAACTTCGTTCTTGCGGATCTAAAATTACAGTAATACAGTATTATCGATTTGTAGAAACCTTAGTTCAAGCATCTTAAAGGACTTCAAACTTTCTACCTAAAGAGGCAACTACCATCAACTTTGAGCAATGTCATTTGACTCTCAGCTGATCTTTTGCATAGAACTAATTTTCAATGAAATAATTCACAAAAAAAAATATCAAACTATCCAAGTTCAATTTGCTACATACAAAAAAATCTAAAATATAAAAGATGTTCCAAACACGTAGGAATCTGTTGGTTGCAAAAATTAAGTGCTCGTTATACAAGTTCCAAGTGTGTTTTGCAAGTCTAGATGAACAAAGCTACTGTAGATTGAAATAAATGTTCTATTTCTGGTATGATGGTTCGGGCTTCTTCAATTTCAGGGCCGTCCTTTTCGTTCAACTCTTCCAACTCAACCTGCAATTAGAGTTCTCTTGATTAGAAGTCACGAAAAATAAAAAATCGCTCATGTTATTCATAAGCAAGAACTTTTGTCCATACTTTAGTCCCAGGGAATAAATTTATATCGGCTTGCATAAGATGATATACCTTAACTAAAGGCTAAAATATTAAAGAAAATCATCAACAATGTTCTCATCAGCTTGCCTATAACTATCCATTTGACAGATTTCTATAGAAGCTTAGTAGAAAAGCACACACTTCAACTAAGATTTTGATGTTAACTCAAAATTAAATAAGTCAATATTTAGTTAACATGAAAAATGCAAGACAGCAAAAGGAAAGCATCAAAACAATATTTTGATGTGTTTGTCAATCTGAGAAGCTATATTACTAGGTTTTGACGTCCATATATAAACAGAAAATTTATTATTTATCTTTACAGAACACACATGCATACATTTATTTAAAAAAAAAAACAAAGAAAAACATAAAAAAAATACCTATTTTCATGACCAAAAAATTGTAAAACAACAATCACACCCCGTTAGTTGTCCATATATAAATAGCCACTTGACATTTACAAAACAAACATGCATAAATTTATTGAAAAAATTCAACTAAAAGCAGAAAACAAACATAATTTCATTACAAAAATTTGAAAAAATATATATATAAAATTAAAACATAACAACCTTAAGAAAACATGACACTTAAAAAAACCCCCAAAAATTGCAATAAAACACATATATCGAGCATACCTTAGAACAAAGAAGAAGAACATACCACGCAAAAAATAAAAAATAAAAGACCCAACGGGCAGAAAAAATGGCAACCGAGATTAGAAACATTCAAAACTCACCAAGTATAGATCTTACCATAAACACGGTCCATTAGGTTCATAGCGAACTCGATCTAATCTGTGCTATTGCTAAAAATCTTGTCGGTCAACCAGCATCGTGCATGACGCACCAAAGATTAGCGAAGCCTTTCAAACAGGAAAACAAACATTGATCTTTGCGCAAGCAAAAAATAGATTGTGCGACAAAAGGAAAATTATGGAAATTTTGGGCGGTAGAACATAGATTTAGGGTTTGTGCTCGAGAACAATGACAAAGGAAATGATAAGCACAACAAATTTAGGTTTATGCAGGAGAAAACGAAAAGAGAAATGCAAAACATTACACAATTAGGGTTTCAGCATGAGAAGAAGAAGACTGAAAAAATGCCAAAAGGAAGACAAAGCATTTTTATCCATGCAATAGAAAAAAAATTGAGGATAAGAGAGCACATATTCACATGAAAACATGACAAGAGTAGACGGCACGTGAATTTGCACAATGATTTTGACAATATGTGAGGTGTATGGATCATTGTCATTGAATTCAAAAACAATCTTTCAAATCAATAGACATAATGTCCGCCAACTCACACATTGTCAAACTTATTATCAAATTTATTATAAAAGTAGCATAGTTCGAATATGACAAGAGTAGACGGCATACCTTTTTAGAATGCCTTTTAAAAATTCGTCTTTTATTTTAGTAGTAAATGAATTAATTGGGCTGTGAAAGAGATGGAATTAAAAAAAAAAAAAAAATTTATATATGGCACACAACCCTAAGAACAATGCCAATACCAACCCACTCTTTTCTTTTAGTAGTGAAGGGATAAGAAAGTCGTGTTTGAGTCAAATTATTATAGAATGAGAATGAAAAATATAGCCGTTATTGGGGCCCACATAAGAAATAGAAAATTTGAATTTAAATGCTGATGTGATTGATAACGGTCATATTTTTCATTTTAATGAGATAATAATGTAGATCAAACTGGGGCTAAATTATTGTTGATTATAGATGGGGAATCTTTGGGATTGAGGCACTCTTCGACCAGAGGATTATATTCGCTGATTATAGATGGGGAATTCTTGGGATTGAGGCAGTCCTCGAGCTACTCGAGGACTTGCATCATGCTTTTTACGATATTCGTTGATGACCATCCTCGGGATGTAGTACTCAGGATATTTTAACCCCAAAAGACATGGTAGTGTCCTTGAACACTTTCATTTGCCAAAAAAGAACTTCCTGCCTAAACACAAAGGGATCATACTCTCCTAGGATTCTAAACCAATCCAAACATCTCATTCCAAGACTCTTATATCTTGGAGGACTTTATCACAATAGATATTATATAATTGTATAATAATTAGACCTGCAATTGTAGTACAAACCCAATACCCATCTCAAAAAAGACTCCTAATAACAAGAATATTCAACTAATCCAATCATATTGAGAGTCCACTATCCACCTCTATAAATACAAAGTTTTTGTTTAGTATTCAAGTGCGCTTTTACATAATTTCAGCATATAGCCTTTCGCATAAATTCTCTCTAACTTAAACATTCGAGGGACGACAAGAACACACATCGACGCCCTTATTTCAAGTACTAGAAGATTCTATTTGTGTTCATCCTCAATCATCAAACTCAAGATTCAAAACGTACAATTTTTGGTAGCATCAATTACCATTGACAAATTTTTTTTTTTATAGATCTATGAACTTTGTGGACAGAAGATCAATCATCAAACTCGAGATTCAAAATGTGCAATTTTTGGTAGCATCAATTACCTTTGACAATTTTTTTTTTATTAATCTATGAACTTTGTGGACAGAAGAAAAAGGGAGATTACATTATCCAAACACCATATGGCTGTCATTTATTATTTCTTGCATGATCTAACAAGTTTAAACTACCACTGCAAGAAATTATAAAGGTAAAAACTTAGCATTCAAACGCCATATCTAAAATTAACAAGCTCTAGAGAACCACTGAGAACCTACATTTCTCTTTTCGGAAAACAAAATGCAACAAATCTTTGCCTTAAAACTTTTGACAGACTTTGGTTCTAACATCCTAAGGCAATTCAAATACCACTGAGAACCTACATTTCGCTTTTCGGAAAACAAAATGCAACAAATCTTTGCCTTCAAACTTTTGACAGACTTTGGTTCTAACATCCCAAGGCAAATCAAATGAACCATTTTACAAGTTAATAGATCCCCTATACTTTTAAGCAATTAGTTTATGATAAGGAATGCCTCCTACTTCTCGAAGGAGTGGACCTATTCTCTTCTGCATTTGTAGAAGCCGGGCTCTCAGATGTATCCGAGCTGCTGATCTCGCCTTGTCTGTCCTTGTTTGACCAGAGTTTCGAGAATATCTTCTTAACTTTATTGGTAGCAACTTTTTCTGCCTTTGATTTTGCATCATTCGAGCTATTATCATTGCCACCTCCTCCTTTGTTCTCCAACGTCAAAGAAGTGAGTTTCCCCTTTAAAGCCTTGAGCTCCTCGCTGTTTTGGACAGTATCCCAATCCTCATCTGTGTTGGTCGTTGCTGACCTGGAACTCCCATGGGACCCACCCGGGAGTAAGGCCCTGATGGACCCGTGCAGGTCAGATGTGCTACAACTGCCAGAGGATGCCATTGCTCGGGCTTGCTCAAAGAAAAGAACCTGCACAATGACCCGTAATGGGAGCCTCTCGTTTTGTACACGTACCCACGTCCGAAGTCGTCTCTGCTTCTTGCAATCCATTAACCTGCAAATCCTCTTCTTCTCACTCTTGGTCAGAGTAGGATGTTCCTGTAAATGGGGAATTGTTGGTCAAGATATAATCTTACATTGAAGTCAACTATTCAACTTGACGAGAAAAAAGAATGGTAAACAAAATTAGCGAGGTTAAAGATGAAAGCAAAAATTAACCTTGAGGAACATGTCAATAGCACGGTAAATACTGTCATGGGTTGGTCTTGGAAAGCCAGAAACAAGTTCGGCTAGATCCATAAAGTTTGACAAAGGTAAACACGAATCTCTTGCAGCTTGAGCAAGATAATCATCAACCAACCTAGCCACCTTAATCTTGGAATCGGCTGAAGTAAATTTAGTGCACATCTCTTGAAATTCATTACCACCAGAGCCATCAATCCGAGCACCATATTTTTGCATGACAAACTGCTCGACCAAGTCATGTACTACCTCTATGTTATACAGTGCCGTTTCACCAGTTGGAGAATGAAACAAAAGATCACCAACTGTAGCCTCGTCCAGCTGTTCTGCAATCCTTTGCATGATTTCTTTTCTTCCCATCTCTCCACAATCTAAAATTATAGATGCTTGTAATAACTTGAGCAAGAAACTACATGAAACACTATTTCTCTCGGCAGGCAATAACGAACTTACGGTATCTACCAAGTACCGGTATTTTGCAAAATCATCTCCTTGTACTGTACCCATACTGAAACCTGGCAGCCTTCTTAAAGCATATGCTTTCAAAGATTCTCCTATGATGTCTGCAGACATTCTTTCTTTTGTTTTCATTGTTGTTATTACCTGCTTGTATAAATCAATTTGAAGCTCACAAAGGTCATCTACCCACCAGTCTTTCGGCACCATCTGTTGTTTTTTCACACCATTCCAATGTGACTCATTGCCACTCTCAGATTGGAGTTTGCTGTGATTATACGTGTATGACCAGTCAACCTTTGAAGGATCAATAGAAGCTTTAGTAGCTATAGAATCTATGCAGTGACTGACAACCTTCAATTCCTCCGACCACGGAATCAGAGATTTTGTTGTTTGAAGAACTATGATAGAATCTTTCCAGCTTCGGAAAATGCTAGAGGTTAAAAAAACATCAATTTTGTATATGAGATTTCCTTTCTCAACAGTTTCGTACATTTCAAGATACTCTGCCGCACAACGTGCCGCAACCACATTGTATGCATTGAGAGTTACTACCATACCATAACAGAACTTAGCACATATTTCGAAGCCAGCAGGTCCACCGGGTATATCATGGATGTCAATTGTACCATTGTTTTCATCATTTGTACTGGCAATGAGCTTCTGCAGGCGAGAACTCTTGGACAGGAGGGGGAACTACAAAAGATGCAGTGTTTAGTAAAATAGACAAGCACTTGTAGTAACGAATGCACATCTGACAACAGAATCATAGTTGATTGCAGAATTATGATATTTAAAGTCTTTTAAAATTGGGGATTAACAATCTCAGACTAAACGAATCTGATTTCCTTAGGATGGCCTTTTAGTTGATTTCGTTTTAGAACCATATATGGGTCTTTAAGTGTAAATTAGGGTGACCTTAATGGATGGAAGTAATCTCATTGATGAATTTGGCAGACAGAATGTTAATCTGTCTGTTCTTAATGATGCATAAGAATATGTGTTAATGCATAAAGCAGGACATCTTCAGCATAAAAGGGATCATACCTTGTGCAGATAAAATTTGACACTCCCAACGTTGATGATTATATCACTTGACAACTCAGTTGCCACATACCTGAGCAGACAGATGGACAATCGGTCAGATTCCCAGTAAACTTTAGATTACATGTTCACATATTAACTAACCTTCAACCTGGCAAAACAGTATACATCCATAAAATATTTGCTGAAAAAAGACAAATGAAGAGCAAAAGAAAATTAAGGCTTATATCCTTTCATAAGATGTGCATTTAGAATTATTTACCAATTCAAAAGTGTTTTATTACTTGACAAAGGGACAATAGAAATATTGATCCAAATGTTAAATCAGAAATTTGTTTCATAAAGAATATAAGATATTTTTAATCAAAATTATATGGCTTTGACAATGCTTTTTCCTGCAATTGATTTTCATTTCATTGGCATAACAGGCACCACCTCCTTTACATTTATAAAGATACTACTTGTTTGAAATGTAGACTACTTCATATCCTCAGTTATTAATGTCCACATTCATATGCAGTAATGGCAAATAAACATCGAGTTTCTATCAAGAAGTCTCTAAGTAGAAATCTGGAATGGCGTCCAGGATGTTCTTCTTTCTAATATAAAAGCACCATATAAATGTGGTTAATTGAGATCAAACGACTTTCTTCGAGGCAATTGTTCAACTTCGTCCTTGAAGTAAATCGCTGCATTTTTCCAAAATGTGAGAGGAGAAGATAAGGAAGAATCCAATCAAATGCAAGCCAATTACTTTTGACACGCATCTTGATCCTACAATTTGAGATTACCTATTTGGAAAAATAGGCAAATTCAATATACACAATTTAATGTAAACATAAAAATAGATAACTTAGCTTGTATTTGACACCCATTTTGGGGAAAGAATAGATTTTGGAATAGTGATTGATGGGAGAATGTGTGGTTAAAAAGTAACGAAAATTTTTGGGTTTATGTGTAATATTATTTTATTGATAAAATGTGTGGTTGAAATGAAGAAAGAGAAAAAAATGAGTAGAATGGATGTCAAACAAGGGCTTAATTTCAATCTCTCATATAGCCTCGTTAACATCAAGGACGAGTCTGGACCAAACATTTTCAGTTCAATTTCTGGAAATCCCAAGAAAGGGAGCAATTTTCTGAAACCAATAGCTTTAAAGATACTGAACAGAGAACCCCCTCAAATATCAGAAAAATAAAAGGCGAGACTGGGGATGAAAAGTGAAAACAGCTGCAAACCTGCAACATTGTAATAAAAAATACAGAAACACTTTCATCACAAACATATGGGAAAAACAGATAAATTATGATTCATGACGGGGGTGCAAACTGACCTGGTATTGTCCCCATCAGTCTCAAACTGATCAGGCTTGGAGCCAAGCTTCATAAACTTCATTTTTGTCGGCAAAAGATCTTCTCAATTCCAAACTTCAACTTTATCCGTTTTATCTCAGCAACCCACAGTTCACCGCTAAATGAAGTCAGAATAGAGTGGTGCATAAGAAGAAAAGGGAAGAAGGCCCAGAAGTGAACGTTGAGTACAGAACCAAAGACAAGAAAGTAAATCACGATACTGTAAGACCCAATGTTTCCCCCTACCTGAAACAAATGAGAAGTTCTACGAACTGGGGATTGTGTGCCACCTCGTATTGCAAATTAAATCGACCTCTTGAATGGGAAGAGACCCAAAGAAGAGTGTCAGGACCATGGATATGAAGGATTAGCCCAGGAGACACAAAAAGCTTGATCAACTTCTCAAAACCACAGACACTCTCACTTGCTCACCACTGACACCACCAACCCTCCCTCATCATTTGTTTATATTCCAGTCTTATCTCTTTATAAAAAAATATAATCTCCTGACCTCGTTTCAGAAATCGAATGCTAGAGAGTCATTAACATTTTAGAAATCGAATGGAAAAGGGATACGCATTAAATGTAACTGTTGTGGGGTTCAAATATCTGAAACAGAACTTCCGAAAAATTGGTTGACAAAAGGTAAAATCATCTTTCACCAGTGGAGTTGGAGAGACCTGTCAAAGCCAACATAATCTCCGTATGAGTGGAAGGGCACCACGAAAATTGCAGACAAGAAGCATCAACTAGTTTTGGAAGATATGAAAACATATATACACACACGTGAACAGGCCAGCAATGTAACCAACACGATTGATCTCTAAAATGTTAGTGCAACCGCAAAATGGAAAAACTCCAAACAATGCATCACATCACTCCACCACATGATAAAGGTAGCAAAACCAAGAAATATCAAATTACCAATTAGCAAAACTTAAGAACAATCAATCACAAAGTAACAATACATAGGGACAGAATCACATAGGGAAAGAAATTAAGCAGGAATCAATAGCAAAATTCGTCCAAATAAAGGAAATTAAATCCCTACCACGAAGAATAGTATTCTAACCAAAATCCTGAATCAATATGCATACATATACAAAAACCCATTTCTGATGAGGAGAGAAAGAAACTTTAATTTAAAAATTCTCCAGAACTCACCTAAAACAGGAAGGTGCTAAACTTCCTGTAAATCATGGCAATCAAGTCAGCAAAAACCTCTGCTCCGTATAAAGAATCAATATTCAATGGGGGGCAAGACAGTGCAAATACAGAGTAAAAGCACTATTAAACTTAAAACTTTGAGAAACAAAAATATGAAGAAACCCCACCACCAGTAAACAATCAGAAAGGATCTGCCCACAAAAAAACACGAAAAATCAAACCCTGAAAAGAATGAATTGTCTCTAATCTTTGCTAGCCACCACAAAAACACCATGTATTCACAAAAGGCCAAGCTCAGAATGTTCCCCCAGTCTCATCTATCCCTTTAGAATCAGCACCCCACCACCACCACCACCACAACCTCCCCTTTTCTCTCCACCCTATACTTTTATACCATGAATCAAAATGACCATTTTCACATAAACATGTAAACAAATCTCAAAACTGCTACCCATTGTTTAATTCTCCAGTAGCTGTATTTTTGTTTTACTCTTTACTGTATTTCAGCTGTGATAGAAGTGGGTTCACCTCCTTTTTGCTCGTCCAGGCCCCTCAATCCTCTTACCTCCATATACGAGTTTACAGTGTTTGGCACGCCAAGCTGACACTGTTGCCCAAAATTACAACTTTTTTTCAATTTCTTTTAGTACAATTATCAAATACTGTGCAAACTTTATTCACATATTTTTAAAGAAAGAAAACGACTCATCCATGTTTCTCTCGTACTTTGATAATAATGGCATCCAACTCCATTTGTATTTCCTAAGCAGAATAAAAATTCTGAATTCAAAACTCACGGCGATAAAAGCGAGAATATGATATGTGGATGAATTCATATGGGAGGGGGTCACATGGGTTACTCATGGCTGCTTGTG